GTGGTGTGGTGTGGTGTGGTGTGGTGTGGTGTGGTGTGGTGTGGTGTGGTGTGGTGTGGTGTGGTGGGTTTTTTTGTTTCTTTAGGTTTCTGGTGGAACTCAATACCAAACTGAATTTTGACAATAGAAGTTTATGCAATTAATTTATAACGTTAAGCATTATTGCATGAGTACATGCTTTGAACACGAGCGACTTTTCAAATTTGTACGAATATAATAAAGCAAGGAAAAGAAGAAAAGGACAAGAAAAAGAAGTAAAGGACAAGAAAAAGAAGTGAAGGACAAGAAAAAGACTAGGAGAAGAAGAAAAGGAAAAGATGAACATAAACGAGTTGTATACTGTATTTTTTTGTATAACAGCATTATACATTTTGCCAAACATCGTCCTTGTGAAGACTCGGGTATTTCACATCGTGCGAGTAAACGGTGGTCGGCTGTTCCCTCTAGCTCTACGTCCCTCGATTCTCTTGCTACGATTGGCTGAATGTGTGATGACGCAATCATTCGTGACATAAAATTTAATACGTTATCATTTTTGCAGTAAAATGCCCGATTATGAACGATTTCTTGCAATAGAAAAGGTTCTTTTATAATGCTCGAATACAAAAAAAATATATTTCCGTTGGAGTTGGAGTTATAAGTGAAGTGTAGTGAATTGATATGAAGTGAAGTTACAACACGTAGTAGACATGAACACCTTTAAACTATTTTTTAGTACACGTTTGTTTATGTCTTCTTCTTTTCTTCTATTCCTTTTCTTCTTTTCCTTGTCCTTTCCTTCTTTTTTTCCTCATCCTTTTCTTCTTCTTTAACTTATTCGTTTCTTCTTCTTTTCCTCCTCCTTTTCTTCTTCTTTTCCTTGTCCTTGTCCGTCCTTCTCCTTGTCTTTTCTCCTTTTCCTTCTTCTTGTCCTTCTCATTCTTCTTATTATTATCATCACTATTGTTATTCACAATTTCAAGGACTGCCCTGTACACAAAGAAAATTTTGTGCAACAGGTTACGAAGATTTCCACAAATCTATCAATCAATTAAGATGAAACCTTCAATAGGAATGGGTCAGCAAATAACTAATTTCTTACGCAAAAGAAGTGTGCCAAAGGCCTTTTCTGCCAAAATAAATTGTATAGACCGACAAGAAGTGGTACAGCAAAGGAATTTTGAGCAGCCGCTAATGTTGATGAGGCCATGCAGTCTATTCGTACTTTCATACATTGAACTAAATGTCACACTCTTCTAGATGATTTGTTGGTGTCGTTCAGGGAAAACTCGATACCTGAACAGTAAAATAATGTCACTTTCAAGTGTAAGGAGACGATATATTGATAAAAATCGACAGCATACAGAACATCAGTTGTTTTTGTTCGAAATTTTGAGTACAAAATATTAAATTTCTACTGATATCCAAACAATAAATGGAACATCGGAGATGTACGCCCCAGACCAATCATTCATAGATTTATAAAATAAAATAATTTCTAACAACAGACAATTTCATACATAATGGTGACTCGGTCATACCAGAAACGTTACTATTATTGCTTGAGTCTAAAAACTCAAAAACAGTGTAATTACCTCGTGGAAAAAAAATGTATTTCGTTGTTACATGCCATCTTAACTGTAATAAAACATTAGAATATTTTCTCTTACGTTTTGAAGGGTTTAGCGTATATTTATACAAGAATTGGATCAAAGCTCTTCATGAAGATTTTGTCTGCTATTGGATTCGCATCATTGTACTTGAAAACTTCATTAATTTAAACGTCTAACTTTCTGTTCATTAAAAAATCAAAAAAAAGTAAAAAGCTTGCTGAAACTTAATGTTTGACAACGCATATCATAATGTGAACACATTGGGTTCTCTCAACACTTTCCATGTCATGGGAGAAATAATGACAACAATTCTTCAGTCTGCAATAGAGCTTTATCTGTAAGTCCTGGTAAGCAGTGCACAATCTGATTCATATTGAATGTTTTAAACTGCTCTTACGAATGATAGTTTCCAGCGAAACCATCTCGTGCACATCTTGTGCACAAAATTTTGTGTGTGTAGAAACTGAATGTAATAAAATGATATTTTAAGTTGTATAAAAGAATTTAAATAATAAATTAAAATTAATTTCCATAAAACAATCAGACAGAGATGTAGCCCTTTACAACGTACTGATTAAAATATGTTATTTGTCTATGCTTCAAAGGTGTGGTATTAATATCGCGTAATTGAACAAGCGGGGCTACAACAGCACATTATTTCTCCCCTTGTATCTATCTTTTGTAATATTCTAAAATTCAACAAGTTTAACGAAAATGAAATCTGTGCCATTATTTTAAGCGTCCCTTGTTCTGTTCGTAGAAAAGCTAATGAAAAATGTGTAGTGTTAAGAAAATGTATATTTTATAAATTGCTTTAAAAAGGCAGAAATTACTTGAAAACTACTCGTTCATGAAAAAACTGTACATTACCTTCTTTAAAGATCTGAGTTTTTTAGAACACATTTCATTAACATTTTGCAAGTTTCTGCAAGTTTTGAAAATACAGACTTCACGGTAAGTGGGACTGGCACCAATTTTTAACGCTCTGACGTAAGATGAAAAGAAAATTAAAGGAAAATATTGTACCAGTCTTTGAAAAAAATGTTTAAAAATTTCCGCAATTGCACGCAAAATTAAGGGAAAACCACGCAAATATTTGAAAATTGTTCTTGACGTCATTTAAAGGTCAGTTTTTGAATAACACTTTTTATTAAGAACATAATATATATCTTAAATATTTTAATTGCTGGAGGACGCCAAAAGATATTTTGAACTTTGAAAATTTTAAAATTTTCAAAAATCTAGAGATTTCAACGAAAATAAAACCTGAGTCATTCTTTTAAGCATTCTTTACATTATCTGTCCTTTACGCTATCTGAGGACAATGATTTATCCAAAATAATTTAGCAATTTTTGAGGAAATTGGAAAAATATAATTGAAATTTTATGCAAAGTACGCTCAAAAATTAAAATATTCGCTTCACTCTTCCAGGTCTTTGATTTCCTTTAAATCACTCGAGAAATATCAATTTTGGAGAAAATTGTCTGAACATTTTAGGCGCTAGCGTTGATCACAGGCAGGAGAACGGACGGCTCGAACAGTCGTTTTGTCGTCAATAGATTTCGATATCAAGGAAAGAACATGAATTTTCCTTATATATGTACACACACACACACACACACACACACACACACACACACATATATATATA